ACTTCACTCACACATAAAGCGACTGCTGGAGGCAGAAAAGTCCCTGATTGGAAAGACAGAAACCAAAATAAACAGAGAAGAGAAACTCAGGTCAGAAACAACTCAGGAGCAAAAGAATACCCATCTTACTTTATCCAGGAAGTAAGAACAAGATAATTTTTTTAAAAGAACATTCAGGGCCAGGCGCAGTGGCTCACGCCTGTAATCCCAGCACTTTGGGCGGCTGAGGCAGGCAGATCACGAGGTCAGGAGTTTGAGACCAGCCTGGCCAACATGGTGAAACCCCGTCCCTACTAAAAATACAAAAATTAGCTAGGTGTGGTGGCACATGCCTGTAATCCCAGCTACTTAGGAGGCTGAGGCAGGAGGTGCAGTAAGCTGAGATCACGCCATTGCACTCCAGCCTGGGCCACAAGGCAAGACCCCGTCTCAAAAAAAAAAAAAAAAAATTCACAGAAAAAAAAACTCTTGAAATGAAAAATATGACAGAAATTAAAAATTGAATGGAAGATTTGGAAAATAAAGTTGAAAAATCTTCTAGAAAGTATAACAAAAGGGCCAGGTGCAGTGGCTCACACCTGTAATCCCACCACTTTGGGAGGCCGAGGAGGGCGGATCACGAGGTCAGGAGATCGAGACCATCCTGGCTAACACGGTGAAACCCCATCTCTACTGAAAAACAGAAAATTAGCCGGGCGTGGTGGCGGGTGCCTGTAGTCCCAGCTACTCGGGAGGCTGAGGCAGAAGAATGGCGTGAACCCGGGCGGCGGAGCTTGCAGTGAGCTGAGATCCCGCCACTGCACTCTAGCCTGGGCGACAGAGCGAGACTCCGTCTTTAAAAAAAAAAAAGAAAGAAAGAAAAAGTACAACAAAAAGACAAAGGTGGTGTAGAATAAAGACAATTCTAGATTTCTAAGGTTTCAAAACATACACCTCCCTGGCACCCTGTTTCAGGAAGCTAACGGAGGATTTGCTCCACCAAAACACGCCGGCCGAGAAAGCAGCAGCAAGAGCCCTGTGCGGGGGAAGGAAGGGTGGGTGGCCCCGGGATGGCGGCTAGACAGCAGGCCTGGGGAGGGTCCGACTGGGCAGGAGGATGGCGGCTCCCGGGAGGCGCTTTTCCCAGAGCAAAGCAGTGTTCATGGAGCCGCTGGTTCAGGGTGTGAGTCTGTAACGGGTGCACAGAAAAATCACCAAGCAGCCAGAAATCACACAACTGTTCACTCCAGGAAAACAGAAAGTGGCGAGAAAGGAAATGTAACTGTAGTACACTACACAGCTCAGCTGTGAATAGCATCCATGAAGTCGAAACGGCTGCCCATGAGCGGCGCAGCTGGGAGCGTAGCATGAGGCATGGGGGCCATCCGCGCAGCCACATGTCATCTCCCACGACAGGAAGTCAGCATGTCTAGAACGGATGGGTTAGGAAACAGCAAGAAAAGCTGCTCAAAGGAACCGAAGCGTTTTCAGTGTGCGGGGACAGATGGCCACTGTTGATAAAAGTTTAAGTATGTTTTTAGAATCTGTCCATGTTATTTTGCAAGAATTTAAATTTTGTTAAAATGACAAACACAAAAGTTTGATGAGACAAAAACGATGTCACGCCAGATGATCAACCGATCACAATACAGAATTCTCTCTCTCAGATATCACTCTTTTTTTTTTTTGGAGACGGAGTCGGAGTCTCACTCTGTCGCCAGGCTGGAGTGCAATGGCGCGATCTCAGCTCACTGCAACCTCCAACTCCTTGGTTCAAGGGATTCTCCTACCTCAGCCTCCCGAGTAGCTGGGACTACAGGCGCCCACCACCATGCCCAGCTAATTTTTGTATTTTTAGTAGGGACGGGTTTCACCATGTTGGCCAGGATGGTCTCGGTCTCCTGATCTTGTGACCCTCCCGCCTTGGCCTCTCAAAGTGCTGGGATTACAGGCGTGAGCCATCGTGCTCAGCCAACCACCCCCCATTTTTCACTCCTACTACACTCAGGGGATACCCATTCCCGCCCCTAAGGGAGAGGGGCTGTGACACCAATGCGGACGAGACAGGTCGCAGTGGCCGAGAGGAACCCGGCCCGTCTCAGCACACAGCTCCTCTCTCCTGCCACAGGCATTGCTGCACTGTGATAAGTGAGGCCCAACTGGAATATCACAACAAGATCAAGATCAGAAAGAACAAGAAATAACGGAGAAAGCCTCTACCCCAGTGAAGCTACTTTTTGCTTAAAGAGAAACGAATCATCCAAGGTAGGACGCATACTGATGCCCCGTGCCGAACAGGTTTACATCCACATAGACCAAAGCTTCTCTAGTCCTTTCCCAGCTTTTCTCAGGCCCATAGGTGCCCCTTACACATCCAGGAGTCCCTGAGAAGCCCACCATAGCTCCAGAGACACACTAACCAGAGGCTCCAAAGAGGCACACAGAGGTGGGTCTGGTGGCCGGGACCCCACTCTGCCCAAGCCACGTTGGGCGCTCCCTCGAAGATGAGCACCGGCCTTCTAATGACACCTCCAAGGAAGTGGGTGTCCTCTCCCTCCCCAGGCCGGCAGCCTGCCCAGCACAGGCCACGCGTCTCACGAAGATACACAGGTCCCAGGGAGCACAATGAGATGCCGAGGTCCCATCTATGCCTCCACCCCAGGCCCCAAACAGCTCAACGCCCGCCTGTGCCCATCTGCTGGGGAGCAGAGTGAGCATCCTGGACACCCCAATGTCTGGCTGGAGCTTGTTACATCCTTTCCGAGCAGAGGAACATAGGATGAGATCAGAGGACACCACCCAGGCTCCAGTGCGAGGTTTCATGCAAGGACCTAGCAGTTGGTTCTGCCTGAATGCATCCGAGCCAGGGTTCTGATGAGCTCCGGAAAACTCTTCTAACGAAAGCTAGAGAAACTGAGGTAGAAGTTACCTCGATACATAGCTAACAATGAATGCAAAAGGTATAACTCAAAAGAGTAAGATTAAAATCAGACACCTCTTTTGAGTTGATAGGCATTTAGCAAAATTCAGCTAATGGACACTAAAGATTTGTTTCACTGCATGTAGGTTTTACTCAAAGAAAAAAAGACTAAACAGACATTAAATTCCAGTTAATGGGCCAGGCGCCGTGGCTCAGGCCTGGAATCCCAGCATTCTGGGAGGCTGAGGCGGGCGGATCACTTGAGGTCCGGGGTTAGAGACCAGCCTGGCCAACATGGTGAAATCCCGTCTCTACTAAAAACACAAAAATTAGCCAGGTGTGTTGGCACATTCCTGTAATCCCAGGTACTCAGGAGGCTGAGGCAGGAGAATCACTTGAACCTGGGAGATGATGGCTACAGGGACCCAAGATGGTGCCACTGCACTCCAGCCTGAGCAACAGAGCGAGACTCCCTCTCAAAAAAACAAAAACAAAAACAAACAAACAAAAAACCAACTTCTAGTTAACGACTTGGCATGATGGCTCAGGCCAGTAATCCCAGCATTTTGGGAGGCTGAGGTAGGCAGATCCCTTGAGCCCAGGAGTTCAAGATCAGCCTGGCCAACATGACAAAACCTCATCTCTCTCTCTCCAAAAACATACAAAATTAGCCAGGTGTGGTGGTGCACGCCTGCAGTCTCAGCTGCTTCGGAAGCTGAGGTGAGAGAATCGCTTGAGCCCTGGAGGCGGAGGTTGCAATGAGCAAAGGTCATGCCACTGCCTAAGCAACAGAGCGAGACCCTGCCTAAAAAATAATCATCCTGGCCGGGCGCGGTGGCTCAAGCCTGTAATCCCAGCACTTTGGGAGGCCGAGACGGGCGGATCACGAGGTCAGGAGATCGAGACCATCCTGGCTAACACGGTGAAACCCCGTCTCTACTAAAAAATACAAAAAACTAGCCGGGCGAGGTGGCGGGCGCCTGTAGTCCCAGCTACTCGGGAGGCTGAGGCAGGAGAGTGGCGTAAACCCAGGAGGCGGAGCTTGCAATGAGCTGAGATCCGGCCACTGCACTCCAGCCTGGGAGACAGAGCGAGACTCCGTCTCAAAAAAAAAAAAAATAATCATCCTAGTGAGTGTTGGGCACATGGGGTGATTTTAGTATTTTTGCACTTTTGAACTGTCCCATAATAAAAAGTTAAAAATCATGAGACAACATGATACATGATTTTAATTTATTTATTTATTAATTATTTATTTTTGAGACAGAGTTTCACTCTTGTTGCCCAGACTGGAGCGCAGTGGCCTGATCTTGGCTCACTGCAACCTCTACCTCCCGGGTTCATGCGATTCTCCTGCCTCAGCCTCCCGAGTAGCTGGGATTACTGGCACCCGGCCCTACACCCAGTTAATTTTTGTATTTTTAGCAGAGATGGGGTTTCACCATGTTGGCCTTGCTGGTCTCAATCTCTTGACCTCGTGATCCACCCGCCTCAGCCTCCCAAAGTGCTGGGATTACAGGCATGAGCCACCATGCTCGGCCCGGCAGCACCTTTCAAAATTACGAGTGTGCATCCCCTGGGACCCAGCAAGTCCACCCTAAGGATTTATCCTGCAAATCAGGCTCCAGTATAGGAAACGATGGGCACAGGAGACCATTCACTGCAACAACGAAAAGCAAAAGACTGGGAGTCATAGAAAGACGGCGCCAGCAGGGAGGAGCCCAGCAGGACCTGCAGGAAACAGGGGCGGCAGGTCCCCCGGGAGGGCCTTGGGCCTGAGGAGAGGAGAAAACACCCTCCCTGTACGACGCTTTGTGCTTTTTGATGGCTGAACCACATGCATTTATTGCCCAGTTCAAAAACAGTCATTTAAGAGACAACCAAAACCCTTAACCACATGCTCGGCTATTCTTCAATGCACTGTGGCCAGAATGAAGCTCCCTCCTCCTTCCTCCCTCCTTCCTGGACCAAACCCCGCTCCCCTCACGTCACTGTAGAGAACTGGCCTTTAACCACTGCTGGCTGCCCAGGCAAGACAGAAAAACCAGGCCTCCAGGGCCGACCCAGGGGCGCTCTGAGGGCCAGGCAGCGGGGCACTCACGGTGATGATGTCCAGGATGCTGAGCAGGCTGTGGACGCTGTCTCCTGCCAGAACCTCTTTCACCACCACCTCGGTGCCATCCTGCGATTGGAGAGCAGAGTGGGCGCCGTCAGGTCACGGGTCGTGACCGCGGGGCCTGGCAGAGGCTCAGCCCAGCCCAGGGCAGTGGGGCCACGGGCCTGCACCTCTGAGGCGCCATGACAGCAGCAAGTGCCTCGGATGGAGGGCAGGGGACGAGATGGACCCTCTGGCCTCAGGGGTACAACAGGAAGCAGCGGCAAGGAAAACGGAGACGAAGGAGGAGACCCACCTCTCCATCCCACGACTCGTCTTCAGGGTGGGGACTGAGGCAAAAGCTTTCAGAGCCTATTTGTTTGCTGAACTAACTATAAGGGCTCCGAGGACCGATTCAGTTAGTACCAGCCTAAATTCCAGAACTTTGATATAATTTTCCATTAGGTAAAAAAAAAAAAAAAGAAAAGAAACCACATTCTTTTGGTGATTTAACAATGTAAGCACTTCATCTCAGCTTGACCCAGGAAAATTCTTTATGAAGTTGCCCAAATCTGGCCCCAGTCCCCTCCATGAGCCCCTCCCATCTAGTCCAAAGGCCAGAGGGACACGGGTTCTGGTCCTTCAGGAGGCCCCGCACGATCGGCAACAAAAGCCTCTGCTTCACCAGCTGGGCGGCCCCATCCCCAGAAGCTACTGGCTCCAGCTTCCCCAGATGGGGGAACCAAGCCCCTTTCCCTCCTAACAACCGATCAAGTCCAGCCACAGACGAAGCAACAAACCTGAGAACCAAACACTTTGGCCAGCAGCACTTTTGGTCTAGAAGCCCTGACAGGCAGTGCTGGAGCTGGTATGGGGTCGGTGCCCACTGCCGGGACCACAGTTGGCAGGAGCCCTGCAGGTCAGGGCGATGATCACACAAAGCCCAGGGTTTGCTAAGCGTGTGCTTTAAATGGGAACAAGCAATGAGGAGTCTGGGTCGCAACTGCCTGGACAGACAAAGCCACACCACCCTGCGGGGGAGCCACACACGCCGAAGAGGCCGCGGCAGGGTCTGGCCCAGCTCCCACCCCTGAGCAGCGATTCAAAGGGCAGAATTCAACAGAGGCAGGAAACAAGTATTGAGGTCCTACATGGATTCATACCTGAATTTTTTTTTTTTTTTTTTTTTTTTTGGAGACAGGGTCTCACTCTGTCGTCCAGGCTGCGGTGCAGTGGCGTGAACATAGCTCACCGCAGCCTCGACCTCCCAGACTCAAGTGATCCTCCCACCTTGGCCCCCAAGTAGCTGGGACCACAGGTGCTACCACCATGCCTGGATAATTATTTTTTACTTTTTGTAGAGATGGAGTCTCACTATGTCGTCCAAGCTGGTCTCCAACCTGTGGGCTCAGGTGATCTTCCCACCTTGGCCTTAATTATTTTCTTACAATTAAAATAATTTAATTTTGTTAGAAACCTGAAAATAGAGCAAGGTCTCAATTGATCATGGCAAATCAATACAGTGACTTAGTACTAAACCATCAAAGGGAGTATTCCGAGGACTTGGAAGAAACATTTAAAACAGCTGCCAGGCCCAGGCCCCATGCCTGCAATTCCAGTGCTCTGACAGGCCGAGAAGGGAGAGTTGCCTGAGCACAGGAATTGCTGACCAGCCCGGGCAACCAAGTAGGACTCCATCTCTACAAAAAAATTTTAAAAGTGAGGCGGGCGTGGTGACACACACCTGTAATCCCAGCTACTCGAGAGGCTGAGGCATAAGCATCGCTTGAGCCCAGGAAATCGAGGCCTCAGTGAGCTTAGATTGCACCACTGCACTCCAGCCTGGGTGACAGAGTGAGACCCTGTCTCAAGAAGAGAGGAAATTAAATAAAGGCCGGGGCGCGGTGGCTCAGCCTGCCCAATCCCAGCACTTTGGGAGGCCGAGATGGCAGATCACGAGGTCAGGAGATCGAGACCATCCTGGCTAACACAGTGAAACCCCGTCTCTACTAAAAATACAAAAACACCAGCCGGGTGGTGAGCCTGTAGTCCCAGCTACTCGGGAGGCTGAGACAGGAGAATGGCGGGAACCCGGGAGGCGGAGCTTGCAGTGAGCAGAGATCCGGCCACTGCACTCCAGCCTGGGCGGCAGAAACAGAACTCGATCTCAAAAAAAAAAAAAAAAAAAAAAAAAAAAAAAAAAAATTAAATAAAATGTAATAAAAGAATTAAAATGGTGAGTTTTCCCCCAAAGAAATTAAAATAAAAATTTGCCTGTGCTAGTGGGAAAGCGTTTCAGGGCCTGAGATGACAGATGTGGAGGTGAGTGCCGCCACCCTGCGACTCACAGCGTCCTGGATGCGGAGCCTCCAGCCGCCCGTCCTGCACCACACACAGATGCACAGAGTCTGGCGCCCCGGGCCGGAAGAGCGTGCCTCCCCACTCTACACATGCACAAAGGCGATGTGTTTGCAAAGCTCCAGGAACAGCGGCTTCTCAAAGTGGCCCAGGACCCTGCAAGAGCCAGAGGCGCTGTGGGGCGGCCTTCCAGGGGAGGAGGTCGGTCTCCGCCAGAGTCTCTCGAGCTCACGGCCACCGACCCCACTGGCGCCAGGCCTTGTGCTGTGTGGGTCACGCGACTGACCAGCAAGCCACACGGCATCACTGCCGAACCACAACTGTCAACTTCTGGTTCCATGAGCCTGTTTTCCATGGCTCAGAGAACTTCTTGACCTGTGAACCTGGGCCCCACGCACACGGGAGGAAGGCAAAGGTGGCCTCAGGATGTTGAGCTGGAGCCAGGGAGTGGAAGGGTGCAGTCAGGGAGCCAGTCAGCAAGGCGGGAGCACAGAGCAGAACCCAGGCTCCAGACTTTGGGATCCACACACCGTTCTCACTCTTGCTCTGGGTTCACTGCTGAAGATGAAATGGGAGTTGTTCAACAGAACAAAAGAAAGACCTAGTGAAGGAGCCAGCAGACCACACGAGAGCCCTGCCACGAGGCACAGACACCAGCAGCCCCATGATGGGCTTTGCCAACCATCCCCCAACACAAGACAGCCAAGCTGGAGCCAGTCCCCAGTGAGAAGCCCGGACGGGGAGTGTGCAGCCCTCGGGGCTCATCCTGCTCTTACCCGAACATTTTTCAGCATGTACAGAACTTCCCGAGGTAGGTGAGAATTCTTCACATCAAACTCTGTGAGGAGTCGGCCTCCAGCAGGGAGGCGGGGGCTCAGCTTGGGCTGCAGGGCGGGTATTCCTTCTTGAAACGCAGAATCCTACAGGCAGAGACGTGGCGGGCAGACAGGCGGGTTCAAAACCCACAGCATCAGTGGCAGGCCGCAGGCAGCCCAGGGTCAGGGAAGCCAGCACCGTGCGAGGGCACCCCAGAAGGCAGATGTAGTCCCACAGAGACCTCAGCCTCTGGCCAGAGCCAGCACCTTGGTCCACTCTTCCTGGCCCGCTGCCGGGGTGGTGCGGTGTTCTCCACCAGGGTGTTGGGGGCGTGGTCACCTGCAGAGCCAAGGGAGACACCAGGCACTGACCCTGCAAGCCCTGCAAGGTCAGGCTCTTCGTCCGCCAGGGTCAGTCCTCAGAACCTGCCTGCAGGCCTCCATAGGTAACTTCAGCTCCTGGGGTCCTTTGTGCCATTCCCCACCCGCCTGGCCTGTGAGGGATGTTGGCAGTGAGTGATACAGCCCACACAAGCGTTGGGATCATCCTCACTGTCCCCAAACAGCCAACCCTCCAGAAACTCCAGGGCTTCATGCGGCCGGCCCGCTGCCCGAGGCTGACAGCCCGCCATCATGGCTTTCGTGTGTTGCCCACAACCCTTTCCTATAACCCTTTAAAAATCCCACCACTGTCCCCACCCGACCTTCCCCCTATCACTTCCCCTCTGACCTGGGGCCACTGCCCACTCTGTCCCATATCTGGAACAGTCTTCTTCCCTTTTCTCAGGCAGTGCCTGCTTGACTGCCCAGAACAGCAGAGGCCTGGGTCACACCCTGCATGCTGGCAGGGCCACCTCCTTCGGGCACCACTGCCTGCTGCCCTTCAGTACAGACATTGGCCTTGCGGCTTTCCTCCCAGGCCCTCCGCTTCCCTGTCCTCTGTGGGGCCACTGGATGATGGTCGACACTCAACAGATCGCCCCACGCCCTATCCCGGCCGCCTGAGCCTGTTCCAGACCCAGCATACAGCAGCCCTAACTCATCTGCCCTTTCACAGCACTTAACGCTGATGAGAACAGATAAGAACCACAGACACCCTCCCTCCCCTCTTGAGTTTCTCAATTTTCTTTCTTTTTTTTTTTTTTAGACGCAGTTTCGCGCTCTTGTTGCCCAGGCTGCAGTGCAGTGGCACGATCTCGATTCACCACAACCTCCGCCTCCCAGATTCAAACGTTTCTCCTGCCTCAGCCTCCCGAGTAGCTGGGATTACAGGCGCCCACCACAACGCCAGCCAATTTTCGTATTTTCAGTAGAGATGGGGTTTCACCATGATGGCCAGGCTGGTCTCAAACTCCTGACCTCATGATCGGCCCACCTCAGCCTCCCAACGTGCTGGGATTACAGGCGTGAGCCACGCCCGGCCGGGATTTTCAATTTTCTGTGAAGAACATGAATTAGCTGTATAACCAGAAAGGTAACAAAGATTGCTTTAAAGGGGATCAGTCTGTGTGGTTTCTGTGAAAGCTTCAGGTGAATCTGTTGAGCACTTCCTGGGCCCTTCAGGGGAGTGCAAAGGAGGCGGCCAGGAAGCCACTGACAACCCAACTGGCCAAAGCCCAGGAAGGGTTAAACCAAGCGTGCTTATTCCCGGATGGGGCTTGTTGTTCGGATTCCTGAGCCCGGCCCGGGGATCTGTGTCTAGAGTTCGGAACCACGGTACTCCAAAGTGAGCCACGTAACACCTTAGATCACACATGCCAGTAACCAGAACTTAGCCCTTCCAATCCTGGGGGATGGACTCTGTCAGTCCAGCACCTAAAGCCTGTAGAGAACCTCCAAGCTCAGCACCAGAGTCAAGCCTCTGGCAGAGCGTGAGCCCTCTGCACCACCAGAACTAGCGATGTTCTTACAAAGCAGCTTTCTGCTCTCATTTCTTGTTAAAATAAACATCCACTCTAGGGGCAGACAGGACCTTCTCTCCCCTCCGGCCACTGTTCACCACAGACATTCCAGGAGCTGCCCACTTCAGGCCAAGGAGAAGAGCCGAGGTCTGAGAGGGTGGGGAGCTTATTTCTGGGTAAAACACTGGATTCAGCTGGAGGAAGCAGACACCGTGCGACACGATTTATGTTCCCCAAACCCTGAGCCTGGTCGCAGAGCTGGGAGCCGGGGACCATTGGCGGCACACGCCAAGCACTGCCTGGACTTGGGAGCCCGCAGCAGGAGGTCCACTCCCACAGGGGCCATGCTCCGGGAAGCTGTGTGCAACCTGGAGCCCGAGCACCAGCTACGCTTCTCATGATCTTCCCGGCCGTAAACATCACTTTGTCTCTCTTCGGAACCGGTACTGAGAGTGGAGCTGCGCTTGTCCGCAGGGAATGAAGAGACGGCCTGGTAGAGCCGTGGCACAGGCCTGGTCCTGGACATGCAGGTGTCTTGAGTCAATTACTCTCGTCCCGCCAGTACCTGGCCATACTCAGGCAGCACGAGGAAGGGGGCCTGGGTGACAGGCTCGCCTCCAACAAGGGCTCTCCCCTCATACACTGAAGCCTTGCTCAGGAGAGGAGAACAGAAAGGGCTCTGAACAGACTTGGCTTCCTGGAACAAGCAATGCTCAGCCTGAGCCCAGATGAACCACTGGATTCTAGCCAAACCCACTGTGGACTTGAGGACCCCTCCCAGGGCTCAAACATCCCAGGCACCCACGCTTTCCCAACCCCCAGGCCAGAGTCAGAACCAAGATACTCACAAATTGGCTAAGCCTTCTGAATGTGAAAGGATGAGAACACCAGCCAAGGCCAACCAGGCCAGGAGGGCTCCAACACATAATCCCCGTCCAGCTGGCCAAGAGTGGGGACATGGTGCCCATCAGCAAGGCCACAAAACCAACCCCTAGCCTAAGCCTGCCCCCCACCCCAACCACAGGCTGGCAGGAGCAGGATGGGGGCAGGGAGGAGTGAAAAAGGCCCACGGCCCATCCAGGTCTGGCCCCAGGGAAGATGTGAGGTGATTACCATGATGGACGGGGAACCTTCCTCCGTGAACCACAGCCCCCAAGAGTGCAGAGCGGTGCCCAGGCAGAAGCCAACCTGCAGCAGAGAGCATGGGGTCAGGCGGGCATGGGCTTGAGCTTCCAGCCCAGACTTGCTCAGAGCAGCAAAAGGAGAGCTGGGAGTTAGGACAGAAGTCAGCAACCCGGAGACCAAGCAAGCAGTGATCTCGCCCGGGGTGCCGGGGTCCTCTGAGCCCCCCGCTACGAAGCATTCAGAGAGCAATCTGGCTTCCCCTGCGGTCCCACTGGGACACAGGCGGGGGCAGGGCCATCACTCACACACCTGCATGCTGGTGACACGATCCCTGGGATGCAGTCTCCAGGAGCAGGCCCAAGCCACAGGGGAGGCCAAGGCCCCCTCAGTGTCCCCTCAGCCCCAGCAGGAGCAGTGCTTTCGAAAACCCTTTGAGCCATCTGGATTCTGAGAACATTTAACACCAGTTCACATGCCAGACAAGGAGGCAGTGGCGGCTGAGAGAGAGCCGAGAAGCCTCTGTGTGCTGCCATCTCCTGGAGCAGCGGGACTTCAGAAGTCCAGGTCCGCGGGAGGGAGGGAAGACAGGGTGAGGACAGGATGCTGAGTGGTGACAGCAGAGGGCGCTGGTGGCTCCCCAAGAAGTGAAAGAGAAAACAAAGAAGACACCAGCCAGACAAGGCCCTCTCCATTCTGCTGGCATCATCTTCCTCCCAGTGACCTGGGAACTGGATAGGGCAGGGGAGGCCACTGGTTCAGCCTGCAGGATTTTCCACACAAGAGCCGAGGCCTGGCCAGCACCCACCCCGTCTCCGCTACAGAGAAGCAGGACTCCATGTGCCAGAAAATCCAGGGAAGGGCCACGTAGCTGGTAGCTTACAGCTGCAATCCCAGAACTTTGGGAGGCTGAGGCAGGTGGATCACGAGTCAAGGAGATCCAACACCATCCTGGCTAACACGGTGAAACCCCGTCTCTACTAAAAATTCAAAAACTAGCTGGGGCGTGGTGGCGAGCCTGTAGTCCCAGCTACTCAGGAGAAGGCTGAGGCAGGAGAATGGCATGAACCCGGGAGGCGAGCTTGCAGTGAGCCGAGATTGTTGCCTGCACACTCAGTCTGGGCGACAGAGCGAGACTCCGTCTCAAAAAAAAAAAAAAAAAAAAAAGAAAAAAAGAAAAAAAAAAAAAAGAAAATCCCGGGGAAGTCGGAAGGGCACTCAAACGCATTTCAAAGACACAATTCTGCACCAAGACTGGATGAGGATGTGCCAGAGAAAGCTGAGCCACTGAACTTGGTTCAGAAGACAAATACAAGCCTGGGAGCTTCTGCTTCAGGACAGGGGAGCACCTACGGCTCACTCTCAATCAGTGCGTACAGAGGCACCTACGACCATGTCCTTCACTTAGGAAACAAAGTGAGTCCCTCTGAGCCCAGCAAGCGCTTCTGGGACAGATTATCCAAGGAAGGCCTATCACACAATGGCCCTGACCTGGTCTACGCTCTCCTGCAGTGGAGCAGCTCAGCCTTTCTAGCTTTCACTGTTGCTTTAATGGGTCCAGTTTTCTGGTTTAGGAAAAAAGGCCAGCGTGTAACACAGATGTTTTGACTAAGAAAAAGATTCTAGGGCCGGCACAGTGGCCCCATAGCTGTACTCCCAGCACTTTGGGAGGCTAGGTAGGCAGATCACAAGGTCAAGAGTTGAGACCAGCCTGGCCAGCATGGGTGACCGGTCTCTACTAAGAAATACAAAAAATAGGCTGGGTGTGGTGGTGCTTGCCTGTAGTCCCAGCTACTGGGGAGGCTGAGGCAGGGAGAATCGCTTGAACCCAGGAGGCGGAGGCCGCAGTGAGCCAAGATCACACCATTGCACTCCAGCCTGTGTGACAGAGCAAGACTTCGTCTTGGGGAAAAAAATAAAAAAGAAAAGAAAGAAAAAAAGATTTGAAGCAAAATCATCAGGCAAAGTCTAAGGGGAAAAACTGGAAGTAGCAATTGTGACCTTAGAGGAAAGAAAGACAAGGCCTCAGGCAATGCCATGAGCCACTGCTGGCTGTACCCCCAGCTCCGTGAAAAAATGCCCATGGGGCACCACTGTGTCCTGCGCTGTGAATTCATCGTCTAACCTGCAGCTGGCAGCGTGACGAAGCGACAGAGAGGGGCCAAACCACACTCCCATAGTCCTCAGGCACGAAGAAGCCACGCGGGGCCAAAGGCGCAGCAGAGCAGGCCAGAGGACCCTTCTCTGGCTCAGAAAATGCCCCCAACTGGGAGATCAGGGATCTGGCCCCTGAGTTCCCATACCTCTGGGCTGTCATCTTTCTCTTCCTCCATGGACAGAAACAGAAAAAAAAACAGCCTGAAAATCAGACAGCCTGAGGCAAACAAGGGAGCACACCTCTACCCATACGCTCTCACACCCGGACAGCTGTGGACTCAGACTTCTCACTGGGTTCCTTTTCAAGTCAAATCACGTTTCACTGAAAGCAAAATCCTGCTGAAAAAGTCTGTTCTACAGGAAGAGCAGGTGTCTTTGAGAAAGCGTCTGTCGTCTGTTAGGAGCCACTTCTTCCCTCTGTAAACAGCCCTCACGTGGCTGTCCTGGAACCCAGAACAGCAGCCAGATGGGAGCGGCTCAAGCAGGTCAAGAGGCAGGACCAGCGCGGCGGGGGTGGGGAGCAGCACCTTCCGGAAAAGCACGGTTGGAGGAGGTGACGCTGGCGGGGGCGTGGATCCGGGTTGTGGAGGCGTGCCGCAGGGAGGGCGTGGATCGGGGTCTGGGGTGCCGCTGGGGATGGGGTGCAGTTGGGGGGAGTGCAGTGGTGAGCGCGTGGATCGGAGTTATGCAGGGGTGACGCTGGGGGGCGTGGATCGGGGTGTGGGGGTGCCGCTGAGGGCGTGTATCGGGGTATGGGGGTGCCGCTGGGAGGGAGTGCAGCTGAGGAGGTGGATCCGGGGTGTGGGGGTGCCGCAGGAGAGGGTGCAGCTGGGGAGGGTGGATCCGGGGGTGTGGCGGTGCCGCTGGGGAGGGTGCAGCTGGGGAGGTGGATCCGGGGTGTGGGGGTGCCGCTGGAGAGAGGTGCAGCTGGGGAGGTGAATCCGGGATGTGTGGGTGCGGCTGGTGGGATGACTTCCGCGTGGGGTGAGGTCGCCTGCGAGGTGACCGGGCCGGAGACTCAGCGCACAAGCCGAGGACGTGCGAGTCCAAGATTATTGATTAATTTGGGGACCCCGAGGGCTCGAGTCCTCCCACACCACTGCCCGGCCTGCGGGGGAACCCAGACAGCCCCGGCCCTCCCGGCTACAGGTCCGGGCTTTCCTGCGCGGTTGCCGGCTCCGCTCAGAGGAGGCGGCGCGCCCGGCGGAGGGTCAGAAAGGCCGGGTCGCGGCGTCCAGCGCGGCGGCCGTCTCGAGTCAGCGCCCCGCGTCTTCACGCGACCTCCCGACGCCACCTCCAGTGCCTCAGGGACTGGGCTCCCGGGACACCGCCGGCCACCAGGCGGACGAACACAGGCAGTGGCGGGCGGTGGGGGACGCCAGACTACCTCGCTGAGAGGCGGCCACTCATCCGCGCGCCCCGCCCCGACCCGCGCGCCCCGCCCCGACCCGCGCGCCCCGCCCCGACCCGCGCGCCCCGCCCCGACCCGCGCGCCCCGCCCCGACCCGCGCGCCCCGCCCCGACCCGCGCGCCCCGCCCCGACCCGCGCGCCCCGCCCCGACCCGCGCGCCCCGCCCCGACCCGCGCGCCCCTCGCATTGGCCGAGTCCCCGCGGCCACCGCCCCCTCCAGATGGCCGAGTCCCCGCGGCCACGCCCCCTCCCAGACTGGGGCCGTTATTGGACGCGGCGGCCGCGGCCAATCGGAGCCGCTCTTGCTGCGACGCGGCGGTCGGAAGCCGAGCGAGGTCGAGGTCTGGTCGGCGCCCGAGCCGTTGAGGGGCAGCTTGGAGGTGGTGCTGGGTCTCCGGTCCAGGTGAGTCTGTCGGATTGGAGCGGGCGCCGCGCGCGGCCGGGGGCGGGGCTGGCCGGGTTCCCGGGGCCGCGACTGCCCGCCGTCTCCTCCCGCAGGGCGCGGCATGGGCGTCCTGGCCGCAGCGGCGCGCTGCCTGGTCCGGGGCGCGGACCGGATGAGCCAGTGGACGAGCAAGCGGGGCCCGCGCAGCTTCAGGGGCCGCAAGGGCCGGGGCGCCAAGGGCATCGGCTTCCTCACCTCGGGCCGGAGGTTCGTGCAGATCAAGGAGATGGTCCCGGAGTTCGTCGTCCCGGATCTGACCGGCTTCAAGCTCAAGCCCTACGTGAACTACCGCGCCCCTGAGGGCGAGGAGACGCCCCTGACGGCCGCGCAGCTCTTCAGCGAAGCGGTGGCGCCTCTTATCGAAAAGGACTTCAAAGACGGTACCTTCGACCCCGACAACCTGGAAAAGTACGGCTTCGAGCCCACACAGGAGGGCAAGCTCTTCCAGCTGTACCCCAGGAACTTCCTGCGCTAGCGGGGCGGGGGGCTGCGAGGTGGAGGCATCCCCGGGGAGGGGCGGCCTGCCCTCATCTCGTTTCTATTAAAGGCCTTTGCCAGCTCTACGGTGTTTGTTTTTTGGCCTCAGGTCCTGGCAAAGTGTGCAACATGACAGATTTCAGTGCAGGGACCTAAGCAGAGTTCTCATGCAGACTCCGCACTGTGACCCTCTTTGGAGGTCATCTTCCCGGTCAGAAGGTTCTGGGAACCTGCCAAGGGCAAACATTACTCAGCTTGCAGGAGAAAGAATTTACAAGGCAGATTGTGCCGGATGACAACATTGGTCAGTTCATCCCCCAAATTACCCAGGGAACAAAGATACAGAGATGGGGGTCTCACTCTGCTGCCCAGGCTGAGCACTCGTGGGCTCAAATGATCCGCCCGCCTCAGCCTCCCAAAATGCTGGGATTACAGGTGTGAGCCACTGCGCCCAGCCCAGGAAAATTTCTTGTTGCAATCTGACATATATTGGCATGTTGTGTTGTATCATCAGAAAAGAAGAAAGGGATAAGGCCAGGCGCGGTGGCTTATACCTGTAATCCCAGCGCGTTGGGAGGCCGAGGCGGGGGGATCACAAGGTCAGGAGTTCAAGACCAGCCTGGCCAGCATGATGAAACCCCGTCTCTACTAAAAATACAAAAATTAGCCAGGCCTGGTGGCATGCACCTGTAGTCCCAGCTACTCAGAAGGCTGAGGCAGGAGAATCACTTGAACCCAGGAGGCAGAAGTTGCAGTGAGTCAAGATTGCGCCACTGCACTCCAGCCTGGGCAACAGAGCGAGACTCTGTCTAAGAAAGAAAAAAGAAAGGGATAAAACTGCATGTTTTTTGCTTGTAGTCACCTATATATCATTAGTAAATGCTGAGGATTTGACAAATTGTGGCCTGTACTTCAACCACAGTTCCTCCCAGAGAGACAAGAGCCCTCATGGCAGGAGTTGGATGTAACACACCCAGTTTGTTCACACACCTAAAGTCACCATCTGTCCAGTATTTGGGAGCTAACCCATGTGGATGCTGCAGTGATGACTGTTCCCTACAGACTTCACATATTTCAAGTTGATGACCCCCAAGGCAACTCGGAACACACTCCCTTTTGTTTATCTGCACAGGGATCCAATACAGGTTGAGCATCGTTATCCAAAATGCTTGGGGCTGGGCACCATGGCTCACACCTGCAATCCCAGCACTTTGGGAAGTTGAGGCAGGTGGGTCATCTGAGGTCAGGAGCCTGGCCAACATGGTGAAACCCTGTCTCTAATAAAAATAGAAAAATTAGCCAGGCATGTTGGCACACGCCTGTAATCCCAGCTACTCCGGAGGCTGAGGCAGGACAATCACTTGAACCTGGGAGGTGGATGGCAGTGAGCCGAGATGGAACCACCGAGATTGAGCCACTGCACTCCAGCCTGGGTGACAGAGCATGAGTCTCTCAAAAAAAAAAAAAAGGCATGGCTAATCCCAGCACTTTGGGAGGCCAAGGTGGGCAGATCACCTAAGGTCAAGAGTTCGAGACCAGCCTAACCAACATGGAGAAACCTTGTCTCTACTAAAAATACAAAATTAGCTGGGCGTGGTGGTGGATGTCTGTAATCCCAGCTACTCAGGAGGCTGAGGCTGGAGAATCGTTTGAACTAGGGAGGCAGAGGTTGCAGTGAGCCGAGATTGTGCCATTGCACTCCAGTCTGGGCAACAAGAGCAAAACTCTGTCTCGAAAAAAAAACAAAGCCTGGAACCAGAAATGTTTTGGATTTCAGTTTTCAGATTTTGGAATATTTGGATGTACATAATGAGATATCTTGGAGGTGAGATACAAGTCTAAACATGAAATTCAATTTTGTTTCATATACACCTTATATACATAGCCTGAAGGTAGTTTTATACTATATATATGTTTTTTAGGCTAGTCAAGTGAAGCTGTGAGAGAAGGAACAAATCTGTAACTGGTTGTCATTGTTTACACAATATTTTTATTATTTATTTAATTTTTAGAGATGAGTCTTGCTCTGTTGCCCCTGGCTGTGCAGCCTCAACGTCCTGGGCCCAACAATCCTCCTGCCTCAGCCTCCCAAGTGGCTAGGGCCATACGCACGCGCACCACACCTGGCTAACTTTTTTTTACTTTTTATAGACACTGGGTTTTGCTATGTTGCCCAGGCTGGTCTTGAACTCCAGGCCTCAAGCAACCCTGCTGCCTCAGCCCCTCCCAAAGTGTTGGGATTACAGGCCACTGTGCCTGTGCTCAGTATTTTTAATAATATATGCAACTCATCACAGGAGTTCAGCTGTGGGATTTTCCAAAAGTTTTGGGATTTCGCATTTTTGGACTGGCTGTGCTAAATCTATATGAGCACTTCTGGTGCCATGATGAGGCATTAAATGTTCATTTTAAACATGTTATAAAGTCATGTTTTTCAAAAAACTTCATTTAATATAAATAGTTGCTTAAACAAGTATGAAAGGCTGAAACTCAAAATCTACCTGAAAAACTTAACAAATCTGCAAGCTGGGAACTGAGTCTTTTCCCCACTGCCAGAGAGAATCACCCAGTCCATTTTCAGGGGCCTAGCAGGGAATTTGATTTAAGAGAAGTCAACAGCTTTTCTGACTACACTGTGGATTCCATCAGTGCACAGGCACCTGCAGGGCTGCAGTAAGCATCTCCGATGAGGTGGTCCCGGGCATTCACTCCATCTCCCTCCTGGTTTCCTTATGGGAAAGGGCTTCATGATTTCAAGCTCAGTTCCCCTCCCACTCCCAGAGGTGGAGTGCATGGTCATAGAAGGAGCAGGTGGCCAGGAGGCTGAAGGTCGAGTCTGCTTCTTCCGGG